TAGAAAAATGAAAAATTCAATTAATTATGTTAAAAATAATGAACAAAAATTGAATTAGAAGGGAGCTTGTTCAAATAATTTTTTTTTGTTTATAGAATCTAGCAATTACAGAAATTTAGATAGTTTTATAAAAAAGATAACAGAATCTCTATCTTACATCAATAATCATAATTCATTCTTAAATTAGTTTATTCATTCCATACACCTACTTTTTTACCATTTTTATACTCGCCTTCAAGAGTAATGTATTAATATTTTGTAAATCCACTAAATTCAATCCAATTACCAATCTTAATAGGACCTTCTTAATTTTCTTGATCATTGTATGATCCTCCACCACTAATAATTATTTATTGATATTTTACATCTTTTAAAAAGATTTGTTGTCAGCTTTTCTACAAATTATATCCCATCTACCAATTTTTTAACCATTTTTATATTCGCCATTATATGTGATATATGAATGTTAACCAAAAACTTCCTTCACTTCGGTCCACCTTCCATCTTTAATACCTATTTCGACCATCCTTCCCTTATCATTATATGATCCACCACCACTAATAATTGCTTAAATGTTTATTCTTACATCTATTTACCCCATGCAGTAATATCCCATCTTCCTACTTTTTTTCCATTTTCATACTCACCAAAATAAGTAACCTTAGATCCCCAAGAATATTGATCACTGACCTCGATCCACATACCACTCTTTATTGAACCTCTAATATCATATGATCCACCACCAATTCTAAAATAATTTGTCTAATTCCTATCTATACTTTTATTTCTCCTCATTGAAAATATCCCATCTTCCAATTTTTTTTCCTTTATTGTATTCACCTTTATAAATTAATTAGAACCCTTCCCAAAACCCATCACTTAATTCAGTCCATATACCCTATTTATATGTAATGTTTTCATTGTGATTATCTTCTTCATATAGGCCTCCAAAACTAAATTGATATTTTCATAATTTTTGTTCATACATTTCATCACTCATATAATCTTCAGAGTTTTCAGTATAAAGAATATCCCATCTTTTAACTTTTTTTCCATTTTTATATTATCCAAAATAAATCACTTAAGATCTTTCCCAATAATCTGTGCTCAACTCAATCCATTTTCCAATTTTTAATTCATCCATATAATCATAAGATCCACCACCAATACTTAATATCATTCTAATCTTTTTACATTTATTTTCCATTATATAAAATGTTCCAAGCACCAATTTTTCTGCCATATCTATATTCGCCAACGTAAATCACTTACGATTTTTCCCAATAATCTAAACTTAACTCAATCCATTTTCCAATTTTTACAAAGTTCTCCGAATCATAAGATCCACCACCAATTCTTTATATCATTTTAATCTTATTACATGTATTTTCCATTACATAAAGTATCCCATACACCAACTTTTTTGCCATTTTTATATTCTCCCGAATATGTAATTTAAGATTTCTTCCAAAATCTGTTGCTCAAATTAATCCACTTACCATTCTTCTATCCTTGTGATATATATGATCCTCCACCACTAAATAATTAATTAATAATACATACATAATATTATTTTTATAAACATAATTCCATGTTCCATATTTCAAATCCTTATAGTATTCACCTATTTCGAATACTTAAGCTTGACTATTATTATCTATTTATTTTACACCTTGAATAATTTTTAATTAATTCATTCCATAAACCTTATTTTTATCCATTATTTGAGTAATATCCTCCTATTTCTTACAGTATATCCCCTCTCCAATAAATTTCCCATTTTCCAATCTTCTTATAACCATCCACATATTTTCCAAACCATTTAAGATATTATATCTATTCTAAATTAGTCAACCATTATGAACTTAAATTAAAATTTTCCCCTTAATCTCTATTTTTATTACTTGAATAAGTTACCTTCTAAGAATTTCTCCATCCTAAATATATCTAATTTATTTTTTTTTAGTAAATTATATTTAAAATCGATTCTTTAACAATCTCTGCTAATTTACGTTCCAAATCTAACAATCACAATCATAAATTGTAGGATTTGAGTCAAATATTTCAATTAAAGGATCTATCTATTGATCGCTAGATAATTCTTAAAAATTGCCTTACTTATTTATGAGATTGATTTTACTTTTCTTGTTTGAATTTTCAGATAATATAATTCCCATTTAATTTATTTTTGATTCTTTATGATGATTAATTTTTTAAAGCTAGAAGAGAATATATTATTCAAAATGAAATATATATTTTAACTGACCCTATTCCAAAGAATACAAATAGTAGAAAGAAAATGATAAAAATAGTTTATTTTTTCAGTATTAATAATTAAAATTATAAACTATATACAGACAAAACACCTCTTTTTGTACAAATATTTTTAGTAGAAAAAGCCATTTTTAATGTACTTTTTGAAAATTATAGTACTGTTGAGAGAATTTCAATTAACCTTCACCAATTTGATTTTAACTATAATAAATTAATTCCCATTAAGGAGGCATAATTTTAGATATATAAATAAAGACTTGTAATTGAGATAATCCTGGTATGAAATATAGATTTTTTAAATTATGATTATATTTAAAATACAATAAAGATAATTAATATCTAGCTAACCATTAATCCTAGCATTA